TCTGAATGCCCCAAGTGAGTGGTAATTGTATTTAATGCCAGGCGCCATTACGGGCCTTTGTGCACATAAAGTAAGTTACCAAGATTCAGCGGGGGGGGGCGGGGAGCGGGCAGTGCCAGAGCAGCTTTTCGGTGGGCAGCAGAGCAGGGGCAGCAGGGGCTGATCTGGGCCAGGGGCAGCCAGGCAGGATCTGTGACGCCCGGGCCAACATGTGGGCACCAATAGAACATTTCCTCTGGAACTGTCCAACCTGGCCAAAGGCTCCACCAAGGAGGCTCCACAAATAGCTGCTGGCAGGCAGTGAGGGAGCAGTGAGGACAGAGCTGGGGGAAGTCCCAGCACCCTAGGGCGGCGGGGAGCCTGGGCCCACTGCCCATCCCACCAAACACTGACCAGCTTCACCATCTGCCAGCCGGGGCCGCTGGGGCCAAACTCTGGCTGCCTCCCCAGGGGCAGTGTTTGTGCAGGGAGTGTGGTGCCAGGGGCAGAGGAGCTGGGTGTGGTCCTACAGCTACTGTTTACTCCCTACTGTGACCCTGGGCAAGGGACCTCACTTTTTCCTCCTGCCTGCACATTGGAAATAGCAGGAGCTATCTCACAAGGCGGCTGCTTGCGCTAAACCATCAGAGACAACGTGGTCACATGGTGACACTCCTCAAGGTGCTACCGCTTATGTCCAGGGAGGGACCCTGCCCCTCTGGGGCCCTAGAGCTGGGAGAGGCTGGACGCTGGGGCTGGGGTGCTCACTCGTGTCTGCCCCGCTCCACAGATTTCCGACGGTGCCTTCCTGGGGGTGACCACGCTGAAAAACGTGCATCTGGAGAACAACCGCCTGACCCAGCTGCCCTCCACCTTCCCCTTCGACCACCTGGAGACACTCACGCTCACCAACAACCCCTGGAAGTGTACCTGCCAGCTCCGGGGCCTCCGGAGGTGAGAGCATCCCCGTGCCACCCCCAGAGCCCTCCCCCGTGTGATGCAATGGAGGCAGGCTGGCCCTGCACAAAGACATCCTGGGCAAATGGCCTAGATCTGCTACCTGAGAGCAGGGTTCCTATGTGTGCGAAATGAAGGGGACAGTTCCCAGACACTCCTGGAGCCAAGTGAATCCTGGTTCCTTCCCCCAGCATTGCCACATCTCTTCCCTAATCCCGGCATTTCTCTGTCTCTCCAGGTGGCTGGAAGCCAAGACTTCGCGCCCCGATGCGACTTGTGCCTCGCCTGCCAAGTTCAAGGGCCAGCACATCCGTGACACGGACGCCTTCCGCAGCTGCAAGTTCCCCACTAAGAGGTCCAAGAAAGCCGGCCGCCATTGAACAGGTAGGCCCAGGGCAGGTAGGTCGCAGTTGCCCTCTCTGGGGATACTGGCAAGCCAGGAGGCAGCGCGGGGGGGGGGGGGGGGGGGGGGGTGTGTCCCCGGGTATTCCCTCTCCACAGAGGGGCGTGCAGGCCCTCCAGTTTTGCAGGGAGAGGAGGGGAACTGGGGCTCCCTCCTAAAGGGATACCACCCACAGCTCTCACCATTCTCTCCAAGCGTCATCTGGGTTCCTGGAGTCCTGACCCAATCCTTGCCTCACTGCAGGTCCTGATCCAGCCAGTCCCGGTGACTGGTCTCTGCCTTCCGCTGGAGAAACTACTGACCACCCCACCTTCTTCCACAGCCTCTGCTGATGCACAGAGCTGTCCACATCTAGACGCGTCCTGGCTGGGGGGCTCAGAACTCCAGCGTGAACCCAGCCCCACCATCTCTACCTGCCAGCGAGGGCTCCATCACACCTGCCCCCCCCCCCCCCCCC